CCTGCACACCAAGAAGGGCAATGTTGGGTCTGGTGACAGCAGGCTGAAGGAAGCATTTACCTGCTTACAGGGGACAGCAAAAATGCTACAGCCAACCAGAAGGGAGAAAGGGCCCTGCTGGATCTGGTAGGGATGGGCATGGCAGCTGAGTCTCTGAGCTGTAGGGACAAGGTTCTACCCATTCTTCCCTGTGTCCAGCTCTCACAGACTAACTTATCAGGGACCCAGGGCCAGTTCAGGGCTACTTGAGGTATACTGTTCCTGATGTCTCACTTGACCCCCACTGTTCTAGGTACCCTCCCTCCAAAGAGGTGAGCTGTGTGGCAACCTAAAGGAGCCCAGCCCTCACCTTTGAGGTCTGCAGAGCTGCTTCCCATCCCTAGAGAATGGGGACTGGGAGTGGAGACCTCCAACTCCACTCTAGTTTGAGGGGCACTTGCTTGAGGCTGCTCTCCCACTGGGTGATCCCATTCATCTCTCTGATATCTGAGGTTACACCTCAGGTGTTATTACCTATTCATGCAATAAGCATTTCCTATCCACCCCCGCCCCCCGACAGGGGCATGCCTGGGGTCAAGGCACAGCCTCCAATATAAACAAGAAGGCACCCCTAAGTAGCCATGTAGAACCCACAGACACACCTGGCCCAGTGGACATTGAAGGCTACAGGGTCAGAAAGCACAATGACAGAAGCTGGAGGGGGGTGGAGTCCAAGAGGACCCCAAGGCCCTCTCAGTTGGAGGAACCTAATTACAGGTAGGATCAGGGCTGAGGAGCTGGAAGGGACAGTATAGCAAGAGGAAAATGCTTGGGGTCTGCAGGTGATAGGTAGGGGAAGACAGATAGGATATGATGCCTGGGTGTGGGTTCTCACCCATTCTTGGAGGATGTAGGCCCAAATTCAAAACTCAGACTTGATCCTTCCAGCATGGGAACAACTGGGAGCTTCAGGAGGGCAATGGTGTATGTGTGTGGGGGGAAGCTATGTGAAGAATTCAGAATGGGGGGGTTGAGGGTCTGTAGCTGGGCGAGGGTGGGTGCCAAGAACACACTCTGAGCTGGACAGATGCCCACAGGCTGTAGCAGAGGCATCCCCACTGCCCACTGTCCTATGGCCCAGCCTATCTCCAGCTGACCACCAACCACCAGGTGGAGGGGCCAGTAATCTTTAAGATCATAGCATGGAGGCTCCTGTTGGCTGGATTCCCAGGCCATTTGTCTCCCCTTCCAGTCCCCAGCTCTTTGTCAAGTAGTAGCTCTGCCCTTACAAAAAAAGAAAAAGAAAAAAGAAAAGGAGGAGAAGAGGAAGAAAAAGAGGAAGAAGAGGAAGAGGAAGAGGAGGAGGAGGAAGAAGAAGAAGGAAGGAAATAGCAAAAAGCAGAACCAAATTTTCCAGAGGCCTGGAAGATTTAAAGTGCATCCGAACACTCTGTATGCTTTAAACAATTTTAACGCCAACTTCCAAGTTGTCCTATGCCAGTCTCTCTCATTCCTTGCTAGCCATGTGAATGTATTATGCTTTTATTGCTTTGAACGTGATTTTTTTCATCTCATATCCATGTAGTGTCTGCTTTTCATTTCCTCTTTCAATGGTGAGTCTGTCACATGATGATGTGTCACCCCCTGTAACTCAGAGAACTGCATTATCTTGGGCTGATGGGTGCTCAGGTGTGGCAGGCCACTGCAGATATCCACGCCATAGGCCACCAGGCACTCAGAGTATCAGCCAGGGACATGAGGCCCTGTGAGAATAGTCCAGTAGATCCTCAGAGGGCTTGACAGAGGAGGGATGGGGAGGGGGAAGAGAGGTGGGAGGAGGTTCCCCAAGGCTCAGAGGTGCAAATCACCCTCTCAGCTGGTCCTTAAATGGGCTTTGGGATGCCTGCTAGCTGTGCACATGGTAAGACCACAGGTTTCTTTAAAATAATAGTTCAAGGGGCTGGAGAGATGGCTCAGCAGTCAAGAGCACTGGCTGCTCTCGCAGAGAACCCAGGTTTGATTCTCAGCACCCATATGGTAGTTAACAACTGTCTGTTAACTCCAATTCCAGAGGCTCTTATACCCTTTTCTGAACCTCCATGGGCACTGCATGATACAGGTGCACTTACACGGATGCAGGCAATACACTTATACACAAAAAAAATAAAATAAAAAAATAATAGCTTAAGGGCCTGGAGAGATGGCTCAGGGGTTAAGAACACTGGCTGTTCTTGCAGAAGACCTGGGTTTGAAACCCAGGACCCACATGGCAGCTAACAATTGTCTATAACTCCAGTTCCAGGGGATCTGACAGCCTCTTCTGCCCTCCGTGGGCATTGCACGACATGGGTACACTTACATGCGGGCAATACATGCATACACATAAAATAAACAAAATAAAATAAAATAAATATTAAAAAAATAATAGTTCAAAAGTCCACAACTAGGGCCAGAAAAAATGGCTGTTAGTAAAGTGCTTGCCACTCAAGCATGAGGTCCTGAGTTCTTATCCCAGCACCCATGTAAAGTGTGGGTGGGGTGTCTTGTGTCTGAAACCCCATTGTTGAGGGCAGGGTGCAGAGACAAAAGGATCCAAAGGGCTCAATAGACAGTCTAACAAATAACTAAGTCCCATGTTCAGGGAGAGAGCCTGTCTCAAAAAATAAGGTGTACAGAAATAGAGAAAAGCACTTGACATCAACTTCTGCCTCCACATGCACACCTTCGTATGTACACACACACACACACACACACACACGCACAGGCACCTACTTGCAGTTCCCTGCAGGCTCTGTGGGCCCCTCCCACCTAAAGGTAGGGTTTTTTGGGCTCTGTCTGGGTCCTCCCACTCCTCAGCCATGTCCTGCTTCCTACAGGGCCTTTGCATAGGGTCCCTTGATGCTGAAGAGAGCTCTGCTTCTCTCCTATTTCCTTATCTTCTGTCTTGTCCTCTGAGACACCTGTCCCAGTCAGCAGATACTTGTTTCCTCTATTCGTGCATTTGTTCATAGCTTGCCTTCCACTGCAATGAAGCTCCCAGGAACAAGGACAGGATTTAGAGTGGTCGCTTCACCTGTACCTTCAGCTCCAACCAAGTTCTGGTACCTTGTCAACCAACTACTTTTCAAGCAAATCAGATTCTTACACCTCACCTCAATCTTTAACAAGGAGTTTTGAGGAAAGGTCTGGGCTTCTCGGCTATCCTGCCCAGGATCCTGCTTTGCCACGATTCTGCCCCACTTGTATTCAAGGCTCTGGGCTCTCCTAGGTCTCTCTCCTGGATGGCTGGGACCTTAATTGCTCTTTGAGGGCCTTAATTATGAACCGCAGCCATCCACTAGTAAGTAGGAGCATTAAAATAGTGTAAATGTTTTCCTTTTCTTGAAAAGTTCACATATACAAGATGAGGTCCTGCTGAGCCCAGGGACCTGCCCGGCCTGGACCTGCGCAAGGAGGCCATGGCTTCAGCCTTCCACCACCTTGCAAACTTGTGCCCAGTTGTGGGGTCCTCCCAGAACCACACACAAGAAGTCCCACTTCTCTAAAGCTGCCAGGGAAAGGGGCCCCATCCAGGTCTGTGGTTGTCAGGTGGCGCTGGCCCTCCACAGGGACCAGCACTTAGTGCTGCCCCCATAGCGGCAGCAGACTGGCTTTTTCTTTGTCTAGGGCAGGAGTGGTCTCTCCTAATACCAGGGCTGAAGTGAAGGTGAAATAGCCCCTGGTCGGTTGGGATTCGAGGAGGCACACCTAGGAGGTGGAATTTTATGACCCCGGAGTGGTAGCTGTGAGAAAGCAAAAATCCCTGCAGTCCTTACAGTCGAACAAGAGTGTGCAGCCCCTCTCCACTCATGCACCTTTGGGACATGGGTCCCGCAACCCCTGGAGTCTGAAGGAGCTGCCCCTTCCTCCTTCCCGATTCAGCGATATGCTCAGGGTACTCTCATGCGCCGGTGGGCGCTGGGAGGCCCCGATCTGCCTGCACTCCTTCCACGAGGTCCCTCCGTGTGTGCCTGTCCCCACGATGGAGGGGGATGGGCACCGGCAAGTTTGCAGAAACTGCTGGGCAGGCATGGGAGAGGAGCACCGACCGGGGCGCCCAGACTGCCCAAGGATGATAGGTGGCGCGTCGCAGATCTCCCCTCACCACGTCGCCCCCGCGCGCCAGCACACACGCTTCGGGGCACACCCAGGACACACGCGGTGGGGGAAGGGCACGCGCCGCACGGTCACGGCCACGGCGTGCCTCCCACGCCTACTGGGCTCCGCCCCCAGCCGACCCTAGCTGCTGAGGGAGGGGGCGGCGCGCGAGGAAAGAAGTGGGGGGGGGGTCCCCCATCGGCTCCGCGCCCCCGCAGTGGGGGCGGGGAAGGACGTAGGCGTCGCTACCCCCGCCCGGTGGCGGAGCATCCCCGCGAGCGCCCCCTGCTGCCTTGCTCGCCCGGGAGACCTTGCTGAGGGGAGGCCAGGGGGCGCGGACAAGGTCCGCCTAGTCCTGGACTTGAGAAAGGCGGGGCGCGGGCGAGGCACAGAGCCACGGGTGTCAGAGAGCTTGTGTCCCGGTGGAGGAGGCCCAGACGACCCCTACCCGTTCCGGGTCCCCACGGGTCGCCCCCCGGCCCCCCTCGGCCCCGCCCCCGCCCCGCCCCGTGCTACTGGCCCCGCCCTGCGGACCGCCCCCGCCGCCCCGCCCCCCTCAGCGGCTCATTCCGAAGTTTACTGCGCTACGCGCGGACGGGGTCGGGGCTGGCTCGCCGCCTCGCCAACCCGGCCGCGCCCCCGGCCCGCGCCCTCTGTCTGTGCCAACCCCGCAGTGCATTTAGCGGTTCCCCGTACCAGGACGCCGTCGTCGCTGCCGGGAGAATCGGGGTCGAAGCCGCAGCGGGAATCGGCGCCGAGTGGGTTGGGGGCGCGGACCGGGGCGGCGGTGCTGGCCCAGGTCCAGGCTCGGTCCCGGTGACAGCGCCGCCTGTGCTATGCCCGCCCGGACGCCGCCGGACTCCAGAGCGAGGTGAGAAGCGGAGATGCGCGCCTACTACGCGCCCCGGACCCCTCTGAACTTGGGCGATGCGGGCGGGGAGCCCCTAGGGCTCCCGCAGCCCTTTGCCTCAGTCGTGGGGGGTGGGGCTGCCAGCCTCTGCCGGAGGGAGGGGGCGGGCGGGGGCGGGGGGCGCATTTGTCTCTAATAAGGAGAGACAAAGACATCCCAGCGGCCGCTGCTGTTCCCGCAGCTCCGCTCCGCCCGGGGCGGGGCGGGGGCGGTGTTCCTGGGC